ATAAATTAAAAGTAAGAGTGAAAGGAGGAAGAGGACCTGGAAGGAACGGACTATGAGCCAGGTCTGAGAAGGAAACAGACCAGACAGCAATACCAGAACTCACAAAGGCCTTGCCTCCACCTCCGAGGCTCCTGGCCAGGGAAGAGATGCCAGCTTCCAGGTCACATGGTCCCGGCCCTGAGCAGTCCAAACCACAGTGAGGCGGATTCCTGCCGTTAAGATGAGAACATTTTTTTGCCCGGGCTGTGGGACGGGGCTCTTGGGGACCTAACCACACCCAGCCTGGGGTAATCTCAGGAGAGACTGACCATACTGAATTAGTGACAAGGTTCCAAACATCAGTTCAACAAAGCCCATTTCCCCTGGGTGTACCAGGGAAATGTTCAGTCCAGCAGGAATATGTGTGGCTGGCTTGAAACTTCTAGAATATTCTCAAGAGTGTCAAGAACTGCATCCCTCTGCTTCTCGGTGCTGATGCCCTGATAATGTCAGCATCCACGGGTGGCACACTATTGACAACCTGTGCTGGTGGGGGACAGCCTGGGCCAACCCTGTGGTCTCTGCTCTCCTTGGTGATTAATATGGTTCACCATACGAACTTAACAAGGCTTGTGGCTTCCCTGCAAAGTACCTGCTTGCCACGGACAGTCCCAACTTATACCTGTTATTCCTGCAGCCACACTGTGTACTTTATTCCCTCTCACGGCGCCCAGGCTTGGTCTCTCTAGCCTCATTTTCCAGCCAAGCTCTCATCCTGAGTCATTAACATTCCAGCAATAATCCAAGAGGCAGGCACTGTGATCCACACCTGACAGGGAAACCAGACCCGGAGAGCTGCTCACCAAGGCAGCCACATGCTGGGCACCTGGTGAGGAGACACCCAGGTCCCTCGTGGTAGATGACTCTGCACAGAGAGAGCTCCCTCCTCCTTGCCTCTGTGTTCTAGCGGTGAAGACCAGACTCTGGCTCACAGGCAGGCAGATGACCTCGCGGGCTCCTATGACCGTTCTGGCAGGTGCCGCCAAATCCCCTGCCCTTCAGAATCGGCTTTATTCCACCTGGGCCCACAAGCTGTGGGCCCTTGGGCAAGTGACTTGGCCTCTCTGGACCTACACTTATTTCATCCGTGTCACTGGGAGGAGTTCAGTTAGCCCCCTGGTGTGAGGGGGCTGCCCAGTCTGGCTCCTCTTCTGTCTCAATGAGGAGTCAGACTTCCACGAAGAAAGTCCCAACCTCCACACCGCCTGCTGAGTCACGGACGGGCCCACTGCAACAAGAAAACGCAGCCCTAAGGCATCACGGTACGCAGGATAGACTGTTGCAGAGCCTCAGGTGTGCCCCGGCCTGGTGCCCGCACTGGCCACTGTCCTCAGGGCTGGCCTGCCCTTGGCTCCAGGGAAGTGGAGAACCAGTCCTCCCTGCTTCAGACTCCTGCAGGGCGGGGGCCTGGTGGAACTGGAGACCACAGTCAGGAGCAGGCACCAAGGAGCGAAATGAGGTGTGGAGCAAGGGTGTGGCCAGTGACGCCGCTATAGGGACAGAAAGACGAAGGGGGGAAGAAGTGATGGAGAAAAATTAGGGGTAAAAGGCAAGACACCAAGACAAGAAAGACGAAGGCAGAGAGAGATACCAGAGGGAGAGGGGATAAGGGGCAGGCTGCGAGATCAGAGAAGAGAGCCAGGACCCAGGCAGGAGTGGCCTGGGCTTTGGTCTGGGGGGATAGAGCCACCGGTAACAGGGTAGCCGCCCCTGTGCTGGCCAGAGGAGGAGCCCTTGGGAACTCATCTAGGGCTTTGGGTGATGTCACAGAAAAGCTGTGGTTTGTTTGTTATTCATTCACTTACGCAATGTTGGAGATGGACCCGGGGCCTTTTGCACATAAGGCCGGGGCTCTGCCCTGACCTGCAGCCTCTTTCAGAAGAGGGATTACTCAACGCAAGCCGTGCGGTGACAGAGTGGGGACGGTGTTTGGGAAAGTCCTGGCGGAGACAACGAGGGTTAAGACACACCAGGCCTTTCTGGACTGAGCTTGGGGGTCACCGACTTCTCTAGAAGCCTCCACCGCCCGCCCGTTGGAAGTGAGCACTGAGGAGGGCCAGGAGGACACATCGTTCTCCTGAAAGCACTTACCAAGAGCTCAGGTCTCAAGATTGCCGTGGGAAGGAGGCAGCAGATCTGTGCTGAGACGCCAGCTTGGCCCACAGGAGGCCACCAGACGCCCATCACAGCTACCAGGAGGATGGGGAACTAGACGAAGGAGTGACCCCTACATAAGCCCACAAGGACCCTTCCCCTGTGACACCAAAGAGAGCTGGGACCGAGTGGAGGTCATTCGAAATCCCAGGCTTGTCCCGGCAGGTAGCAGAGACCACGGGTCTGGGGGTTTGCTACACGCACTCAAAGAGAAACATTTGCTACCGATGTTCCCTGAGACGGTCTCCATTCACAACTCAAGCTCGACCTCACAACTCGACCCAATTAGAGATGCTCAAACCATGTAAAACTGTAGAGTTAGGACAAACGGTCCTACCCCTTCACAGCACCGTCCATCTCATCCCAGAGCACCCAGCTCCCGGATTAGGTTACTGGGTGTCATTCTGAAGCCTCAGAGTAATTACAAAGGTTTTTCCCAATTCCTCCTCCTCCTCCTCCACCACCACCACCACCACCCCCACACACAGTTTGTATAAAAGAGAAGATACAAGCACCTTCCTTACCCAATAGCAGATTTGGGAGATAGTAAAAACACGGCCCCTCCTTCTAGATAGCGGCATAGCATTTCACTGTTAGGTTTACCGGCTTCTCGATAACCAGTGCCTTGGGGATGGGCTCTTGGGGATGTGACCCTGGATGGGCAGTTGATCTAGCCTCTTAGTGTCACCGTGTTGTAAGTGGTCTTGTCATGTGTGTTACAATGTTACAATTGAATCCTTAGCCTTCCACTCGGTCTAACCAGAGTTTGTTGGTTGCTTTAAGCTTTCTTTTATGTTACTCCCCCCCCCCTTTTTTTTTTTCATTTTTGTTGATATATGGTGGCTGAGATGGAACTCAGGGCCCGGAGCCTGCTAGGTAAGCACTCTGCCACTGAGCTCTCCTCCCCGTCCCTGAGGAGCTTTTATAATGAGGAAACAGGGCTGGCCCTCCTTGGTAGAGCCATGCTGTTTTAAACCATGCGAAGAGCATCCTCCAGTGCCAAGTGGTCCTCACCCAGCCCGGCCACACCTACAGCACCAGTCACGGAAATATCTGTTCTCTTTCTGTTTGTGAGAGCTAGTCCACCCCTGGCCCTCGGTCTCCACAGTTTTCCACTGCGTCTTGAGCTGTCTCTGAGAGCAGGAGAGCTGCAGTGCACTGACGATGGACCCCTGGGCCCTAGGCAACCCTCTGGAGACAGCTGGATGGTGGGGGTTCAGAGAGTATCATGGGGGCTAGAGAGGCAGCCTCTGCAGAGGGCAGGTGACCAGTGTCGTTCCTGGGCCTGAGGTGACCTGCTGTACCCAGGACTTCCTAGCAGCTGCCAACTTCAAGTTGCATTCCACTCTTATTTGGTTCTAAAATAAAACAGCGATAACCCTGGGTGTGGGGTGGAGGGAGGAAGGAGCCACTTCCCATGCCCTCCAAGAAGAGTCCAGAGGAATCTTCCAGCCTGGCCCAGGAGCAGTCCCTGGCAGGCCACACTGCCAGGCCGCCTCTGGGCAGGAGTCTTGTTCTTTGGAACACTCACGGTTCTTCCATCAGGCCTCCCCACAGGCCCCGAGTGGCTGACAGAGAAACCTTTGTCCCTCTCTCTGCTCCCTTGTCCCCCTGCCAAGAGTCCTGGCTGTGACTTCTCTCTTGGTTCAGGTTTCCAAGGCCTCTCGGGTCTGGAGCCAGAAAGGAAAACCCTTGAAACACTGGGACCCTCACTGCTGGACCCTCACGCTCCTCCCCACCCCTCACTCCTCCTCAGCCTCCCCAAAGCCCTAATGACCCCATCAGGAGAGAAAACTGAAGCCTGGGAGGGCCAACCAAGCTGCCCAACAGCACACAGCTAAAAGATGAAGAAGGCAGGAACAGAGCCCCAAAGCCAGACTCAGAGCACGGTGACACCAGATGGTATCAGGGCCGGTTCTGCCGCATAGCCCCTGGGAGAGCTTGGATTCTGTGCCAGTGTCCCCAACTGAAGCAGTGACAGCACATCCTTCACAGGGTGGATGTTAGGATGTAAGAGGAGGAAAACAGACCTCAGAGCAACAGTGCACAGCCCATGGCCGAGCCCCAGCAAGTCCACTAGTCTCCGAGCGGTCGCACTGTGTGGTGTGCAACCCTGCACATGCGCGTGAGAAAGCCTGAGCGGGACCCCAAGTTTCTTCTTCTATCACCTTCCACTTTATTTCCTTGCAAGGAGGGTCTCTCACTAAATTAGAGGGTTACTGGTTTGTACAGGCAGGGCCAGCCAGTGCGCTCTCGGGACCCACCTGTCTCTGCCCCCCCAGTGTTGGAGTTACAGGCACAGCAACCATGCCCAGCTTCCTACAGGGGTGCTGGGTATGTGAACTCAGATTCTCGTGTTTGCAGAGGAAGCATTCTTACCCACCCAGCCACCTCCCAGACCTATCACTGTTACTGTTGAACAGGGTTATGGATCTCACTGTTCTCTGCCTTGGCTGAGGATGAACCCCTAAAATCTCCTCTCCTTCCACTCACCAGACCTCAGTAAGGAGTAATCAGCAACAGAAAATGCCCTAAGACATCCACTCAAACACCGAGCTGGGTGAGTGAGATGCTAGCCTGGCGTACAAATTTAGGAGAGAGGGGTGCCCCCAAACTCAGGAGTGCCCCCCAAACAACTCACTAATCAAACATAATGATTTCCCAGGATAGCTTTAAATTTAAAAGAAAAAAATTACAATGGAAAAGGGGTCCACTTTTAAATAAAAATTAGCTCATCTTGACCAGGACCTTGACTGAGATACCCCCTCAACACATAGAGGCCACCCAAATCCCATCTCAGTCTTTACCTCTGGGACCATCCAAGATGGGTGTCTTAGCCACGGTCCTTCGTCAAACTTCTAAGAATGTTCTTTTACTTATTTCTGTCCCTTATCAGGCTCCCGGCTCTTGAAGGAAGAATTCTTCGCTGTCCAGGAAACTGATCTCATCTGCCTTACCACAGATGTGAGGTGACAGATACAAACGGAACCTGCCAAAGTGACACCTTTGTGAGCCCTGTGGTTAAGGCTGTTTTGAACCCTGACTCAGGCCATTCACTCCCTGTGTGTCTTGAGCAAATCACCTAGCCTCTCTCTCTCCTTATTGCCGCAGACGAGGCAAGAGGAAGAAGGCTTATTACCTGCTGGGGACTCCTTCAGACCACAGGGCAACTCTCCTTCAAGTTTCTCCTTCATCATGTGACAGGAGGCCAGCCTGAGTCTCCACCCCCCACCCCCCAGAGCTGGCCCAAAGGCTTATGGAGGCCTCAAGGTATTTTCCTTTTTTCCTGAAAGGGGGGTGTTATTTGTTCATTTTTGGAGGTAGACTTTTACCGTGGAGCTCAGGTGACCTCAAATAAACTCCCCATCCTCCTGTCTCAGCCTCCTAAGTGCTGGGATGACATGAATGTACCATATCATGTGCAGCCTAAAAGCCACACTGGTGTTTAAAACACATGGACTTGTTTTGAAGAATGCAGAATTTCTCAAGTTGTTCAATGCATGCCTGCACACACACACACACACCACACACACACACACACACACACACACACACACACACACTTAAAATAATGTTATATGTTTTCAAAATAAAACACCACATGCCCTCACAACAATTGTGGTTAAGGTTTGTTCTTCCCTGAGGGAGAGGGGAGGCTTCAGTGATGCCCCAGATCCTATTCCCTGAGGGTCCCTCTACAGTCAGGCTTGCTGGCTCGCTCAGCCACTCAGTGTCTACTGAGCACCAGGATGTGGTGGATACAGGGTGGGGCTGCTGGGCCTGTGTACTAGGCAGGAGACACACTCCCTCCCACAGTCTGGTAGTGGGGTCTCACCACAGCCAGCTGCTAAGGGGAAGGACCACCCAGACCCCTTCCTCTGAGGCAGACATGTGCCTGAGGGGAGGAAGTGGGGCAGAGGGAGAGTAAAAAGGGATAGGTAGCTGTGGAGTCGCCAAGACAGGCGATGCACACACTCCGTGCCTCTGCATCCTGCTCTGGAGAAGTAGCCCAGAACCCTAGCCTTAAGGAGTCCAAGATCGAGAGGGGTCCCCAGTTTGTTCACACCAGGGAGAACAAGCAGGCCCTCCCCTCCGCAGGGGCAAGCCAGATGCCCATACAGGTGCTTCCAGAAGCATCTAGAGGACCAGCCACCTGCTGCCTTACCAGGGCCCTCCAAACACCTAAGAACACAGAGCCACGGCCTCAGCTTCTAGAAAATTCTCCTTTTGAAAGGGGGTTCAGTTTGCCTACCGCATCCTGCCTACCCAAACCCATGTGGCTAAGGACCAGCCAGTAACAAAGATGCAAACATCGAGGCCGAGCCAACGAGTAACCGAAGCAAAGACCTCGGGGGCAGCAGCCTGCTTCCCGAATGATGTGATTGGCTGAACCCCACCTGCCCAGTTACAACCTCTTTGAATGGACTATAGAAAATAAAATTCATTCATTCGTTATTTTTAAAAGATGATTTTTTTTTTCTCCACAAATCTTGCCAAGCCATTGTCACAAATGTCTCTCCGATGGGGAAACAGAGGCTCCCTCAACGGATGCTGACGATCTCGTCCATCTTGTCACACACTCCAGGGCAGGGTAAAGTTCACACCTCCCATGCCAGCCCAGCTAACACCCTTCCCCTCCCAGCACCCACTGTCACTCCTGCTGAAGAAGAGAGGGTGCTGAGGAAGAACCACCGCGGCCCCCAGGCTCTGTCTGAGAGGCCAGTGGTGGCTGGCGGTGTAGACATGAGGATGCCCTGTGTTTCCATCATCAAGATGTTGTGAGTTAGAGGGCAGAGGAAGAAATAAACACACATCCTACGTGGGCCTCAGTTTCCCTGGCTGTAAAGCAGGACCATGTGCTGCTCCCCCCCTCTTCTTATAAGTGTGCCTTAAAGACACTGTAGGAACAGTCCCAAGGTGTGACCTTGGCAGAAGGAAGTGGGGTTGGGTAGAGATTGGGCCGTGAGGCAGCTGTCCCTTCAGACAATACTGGAAAGACTGACTCCCTTTTCTCCATGATCCTGGGAGTCTGGGGTTGTCATGAAAGATTCTGAATGTGCCCACGTTCCCTCCAGAGCAGCTCCTGCTCTGGTTTGGTCTCCTTCCCTTCCACAGGACCCTGCAATGCCAGCCAGGCCGGTGTGGCCACAGCATGTGTGGCACAGCGTGTATCTGCCAGGAGGGAATCACTGAATACAACAGGCAGATCAGGGCTCATACCCTAACCTCCTCTCTAACACCATCCCAGCACCTCCCGCCTCTGTGCCTGTGTCCCCACACATACATCCTGCAGCCCCACCCCCTACCCACCCCCAGTAGGAGTTGACCACCCAGTTTATGGCAGAACAACCCAGGACATAAAGCCCCAGACTTCAAATTTTAAACTCAATTAGTTCTGGTTGTCTGGAATCTTCCATTTCCGCAACTTGAAATTTAAGCACCGAGTTTGCAAAGGGTGGGTATATTATCCTGGTAAAATGGAGCATGTTGGGCTACCCAGGAGACTGAGTGGGGCCCTCAAGGCCCTGCAGACTCCCCCTGCTCCCTGCCCACTTTACCACACGCCTTCCAGTCCTCATCTGTGCTCTGTGCTCTGTGCTCTGCTTCGAGTCTCCCATCCCTGCCAACTTTCCTTCGGGCAACTTGAGGCCGGCTCATGCTTTGAACCCAGCTCAAAGGCAGGCTTCCTGTCTGGGGACTTATTTCCTGCTGTTCCCATGAAAGCCAACTCCTCTTTGCTCCGACAGCCCTTGGCCACCAAGTGTCTCTGGCGGACATCAGCGTGAATGCAGTTAACAATTTGTTCTTGGTCAGAAAAGCACACACTTGCTTTGCCAAATGGGTGGATGGTGCATCCTCAGAGCCAATGGCCCAGACCTCTCAACATTTGGGTTGCCCTCAGGGTGGCCTGCAATGATAGACAGTCCCTCAAAGAGGTCCACATCCTGTCCCAGAATCGACACACCTGTTCTCACAGCAAAAAGTCAATTGACAATTGTGATTAATGGGGAAATTACAAGAATATGGGGGGGGGTGTTATGGAACAATCTTTTTGTAGACTGTGAAGATATGTCTTTGCCAAGTCGCCTTCTGATTGGTTTAATAAAAGAACTGACTGGCCAGTAGCTAGGCAGGAGGTATAGGTGAAACAACAAGACACAGAGGACGCTGGGAGGAAGAAGGGTAAAGTCTCAGGAGTCTCCAGAGATGCAGAAAGAAGAAGGTGAGTGTGCCATATTGAAAGAAGATACTGCTATGTGGCAGAGGGTAGATGAGTAATGAGGGTTAATTTAAAATGTGGGAGTTAGCTAGTAGCAAGCCTGGGCTATCGGCCGATCATTTACAATTAATAGTAAGTCTCTGAATGGTTATTTGGGAGCAGCTGACACAGAGAAACTCCACCTACAGGGTGGGGGTGTGATCCCGAAGCTGATCCACTTGCTACCAGCTGGTTAGTTTAACTGCTAACTTGACCACAACCTCGACTGACACTTGGGAAGAAAGTTTGGGGTGTTTTGTTTGTTTTAAAATTTTAATTACATGTGCATGTACAGCACCTCCCAAGGCCAGAGGGGCTGGAGTTACAGGTGGTTGAGAGCCATCCGGTGTGAGGGCTGGGAATCATATGAGGTCCTCTGAGAAAGTGGGATGCGCTCTGAACTGCTGAGCTATCTCTTCAGCCCTGAGAAGAGAATCTTCATGAGGAATTACCTACGCCAGGCTGGCCTGTGAGTGCCTCTGTGGGTCATTGTCCTGATAGTTAATTGACCCCTGGTGGTTAATTAATCCAGCCCATTGTGAGAGCATGCAGAAAGCAAGGACTGCTTTATTCTTTGCTCCTGACTACCGCTGTGATGTGACCAGCTGCTTGAGTTCCTGCCTTGACTTCCCCTCAACGATGGAACTGTGACCTGGAATTGGGAGCTGAATAAACCATTTCTTCTCCTACATTGCTTTTGGTCAGGGTGTCTGTCACAGTAATGGAAAGGAAACAGGACTCATCCCTCTCTCACAAAGGGCCTCAGACTCCGTAGACTGTTCAGACAAGTTCATGCAACAGGGATGAGCATCTGTCTTTCACCGCGACCCTGGGCCACTCACTGAGCATGGACTACAGGCCAAAGAGCAGGGCAACCTGAGCAACTCTGACAGGGAGAGACGGAGCCAGTATACAGGCCCGCGGCATCGGGGCCTGCTCCCGCCAGTGCTCAGCAGCCTCTCCCCCACGCACTCACTACCCCCTGTCATCCTTGAGCTGCAGGGGAATGCTGGGTGTGTCCTCCGTTCTCTGCATCCACCTCCCTGACCACCCTCCACCTTGCACAAGAACTGTCCCGTCACCAGCCCGGGCTGAGATCTCAGAACCTGTACCCCGAGAAAGCAGAAGTGATCCTGAGCCCTGCTGACTCAGCTATGGGTACTTCCAGCATTTCCACAGCTTGAGCACAGAGGACACCCAGGCGCCCCCACCAGAGCCCAGACACAGGGCCCAGACTGGAGCCAAAGGCTGCTCAGATCATTTCTGCCCAAGAGCATTTCAAAGCCCATGCTTCCTCAGAGTGGCACATGCTGTGCTCTGCCCCTCGGTGCGTATTAGGTCCCACAGCTGGGATGAGGAGGCCAAGGGGTAAGGCTGGGAGCTGACTCCTGGATCAGGTGACTCTGGGGTCCCTGGCCACTGCCAACTGCTGACTTCTTTCTTCAACAGCACCGTATAAACCCATGGCATCTCAGTCCCATCGAGCAGCACCACCCTTTCCCAGGCTCACTTGTGACCCTTGCTGCAAAAAATGCTGAGACCCCAAGAGAAATAAATCATCTGGTGTCCCACTATTGCCCGAAACCAGAAACAACACAGGGCCCCGAGTCCAGAAGCAGCACCAAGTGGCTCTCACCAACAGGCCCTTTCCCTGCATCCCAGGCATGGCTTAGTGCCTCCCTCTTAGAGGTAGCATAGAAAGATCCTCCTGTGGGAAACAAGAACCCAAA